CTCAGTCCTGTTGTCCTAAGGTGAGTTGCGGACTGGACCATGGTAATCCATAAGGTTTTCATTGGCTGGTTTTGGAAGTAGATCACTAGGTTCTTTTCCCTTAGCCTGTCTTTGTCTGGAAGCGTTGCTAAAATTACTCAGTGTAATAGCAGCATGGAAGCCTCTAGTGGAAGATAATAGAACCAAACTAAGGTCTACCTCCTGGAATACAAGAATTCTACCACTGGAGCACCAATGTCCTCTGTCTCTCCCACTAGAGCAGGGCAAACCCCCTGTACTGTGTTCTCCCTTCCCCTGTCTCCCAGTGTTCCGCCAGTGCTGTGACATTACCGGCAGCTTGCACAGGACTCTACCAGCCACCGGGTGTCACACCGATTCACTCCGTCTCAGTGGCCTTTGTCATCAGGAACACCATGACCCGGTCTGCTCACTCCTGTGGCAGACAGGCCCTCTTGGAGCTTGTGTCATGTGACAGCAGGGGCTCCCCTTCTGGCTCCCTACAGTTCCCTCAGTCCCTACCCCTTCATTTGAGTGTATGTTCTTGTGCTCAGGCAGACAAATCTAACAAATATTTAGACAGCGTGGATATAAAAAGTGCTTTCAGCAGCTACCACTTCCTTTCATGAATTGTTTGGTGAAAAAGAAAATATATATGAATAGTTCCCCTCTCACTGAACTCAACAGGCGCCGGTCTTGGGCTTCTCGATGACAAGGCTGACAGCCTCCCTTTTAAACCAGAATTCTGTCCGCGAGTTGTAAGAGTTAAGACGGCTGCAGAGAGGAATATGCTTCTGGTCGGATGGAGTATGAGCCTCAGAGGTGGAGGAACAGAGAATTGAAGGACAAGTTTCCTTTTCCCTCCAGATAATAGGCTCCACGTGTATTAGGTGAAGAGAGACACACTTCAGAATGCTCAAGTGTAGAGGCAGAACCACCATCTGGTACCAGGGAAGGGAGTGAGGTACTGGTCCATATTTTCAGGGTCTAAAGTAAAGAAAGATGAGGCTTTCTACTCCCGTAAAGATTTACACCCTTGGAAACCCTGTACAGGGTCGCTATGGGTCAGAACCGACTCGATGGCACTTAACAACAACAAAGTAATTTAAGTGGGAACCAAAGGGAAACTGTTCATGTTAATGTGCTCAGCTGCTAACCAAATGATTGGAGGCTTAAGTCTCCCCAGAGGCATCTTGGAAGAAAGACCTGGTGATGTACTTCCAGAAAATGAGCCATTGAAATCCAGTGGAGCACAGTTCTACTCTGACCCACAAGGAGGTGCTAAGAGTTGGGATTGACTGGTTTTAGTTTTGTAAAGGAATCAAGCAGTCAACAAAAGAAGGACGGCATTCTCTGCTTCTTTTTCTGCCCTCTTTTTTGATTGCTTTTCATTTGGGTTTAGGAAACAGTGACTCAATAGAAGCTGTTGTTAAGCCATTGCGTCAATTCCCATTCATAGCGACTCAGAGGCCTTCCAAGGAGTGGCTGGTGAGTTTGAACTGCCAACCTGGTGGTTCAAACCAACCTTGAGGTCTAGTGCTCTATCCCACAGCCCCGTACCAGGTCTCCTCAATGGATTGTTGTTGATGTGAAGTGCCATGGAGCCAGTTCTGACTCATAGTGACCCTGTATAGGGTTTCTGAGGAGCAGCTGATGAGTATGAACCGTCGACTTTATAATTCAAACCGACCCTGAGATCCAGTGCTTATCCTACATAGGAAATACAGATCACTAAGGGGGATTTTCTAGGAGTCATATCTTAATTTGAAAGATACTTCATGACCTCATTTCAAGGTTCACAGTGAAATTGTTAAAGCCTCTAAATACTGACAAGATTAAGCCTCTCAATCCCATGTAATTTGAAATAAAAGCAACATGAAATCATGTAGTAATTGTGAGAAAGTCCAACTAAGTTTTGCTTTTTCCTATGAGGGTTATTTTAAAAAAGAGTTGTTGTTTTTTAACTTCTGATTTATTTGGTGCCCCTATTCTGCTGTTGCCACAAACCATGCTGGTCAGGTCTTCTGCGCAGCACCCAGCACTAACCCTGAAACTTGACCTCTGACCTGACAGAGTTGGATATCCTAAACTGGTTTCACATTTCCTAGTGTCTCCAGGTTTACCTCGAACCTCTCCGGCCTCCACTGCTCAGCTCCAAGTTTGACAAAACAACCCTTACAATGTGTCTAACAGCCCTGGTGGTGCAATGGTTAAGCAGTAGCTTGCCAACCAAAAGTCAACAGTTTGAAGCCACCAGCATCTCCTCGGGGAAAAAGATCTGTCAATGTGCTTACAGAAACATTGTTGTTGTTGTTGTTGTTGTTGTTAGGTGCTATTGAGTTAGCCCCGACTCATAGCAACCCTATATACAACTGAATGAAACACTGCCCGGTCCCGCACCAACCTCACAATCATTATTACGCCTGAGTCCATTGCTGCAGCCACTGTGCCAATCCATCTCATTGGGGGGTCTTTCTCTTTTTTCCGACCGTCCACTTTACCAAAGATGATACCCTTCTCCAGGGACTGGTCCCTCCTGATAATATTTCTAAAGTATCATAGGTGAAGTCTGGCCATCCTAGCTTCCAAGGAACACTCTGGCTGTACTTCTTCCAACATAGATTGGTTTGTTCTTTTGGCAGTCCATGGTACTTTTAATATTCTCCTCCAACTTCATGACTCAAATGCATCAATTCTTCTATGGTCTTTCTTATTCACTGTTCAACTTTCACATGCATATGAGGTTATTGAAAATACCATGTCTGTCTTGGATCAGGTGCATCTTAGTCCTCACTGCCATCTTTGCTCTTGAACACTTTAAAGAGGTCTTGTATATCAGATTTGCCTAATGCAATACATCATTTGATTTCTTGACTGATGCTTCCATGAGTGTTGATGGTTGATCAAAGCAAATGAAGTCTTTGACAACTTCAATCATTTCTCCACTGATACGTTGTTTGTTGTTGTTAGGTGCTATCGTGTTGGTACTGACTCATAGCGACCCTATGCACAACACAACGAAACACTGCCCAATCTTGGGCCAACCTCATTGTTATTGCCACGCTTGAGCCCATTGATGCTGACACTTTGTTAATCCATCTTGCTGGGGGTCTTCCTCTTTTTCTCTGACCCTCCACCTTACCAAACATGATATCCTTCTCCAGT